GTATGGGGTTTAATAGCTGGGCCAATACACCATGGACCTAAAAGATACTCGCGGTGGCTCACGCCTGTAATCCCAGCACTTTGGGAGGCCGAGATGGGCGGATCACGAGGTCAGGAGATCGAGACCATCCTGGCTAACACGGTGAAACCCCGTCTCTACCAAAAACTACAAAAAAACTAGCCGGGCGAGGTGGCGGGCGCCTGTAGTCCCAGCTACTCGGGAGGCTGAGGCAGGAGAATGGCGTGAACCCGGGAGGCGGAGCTTGCAGTGAGCTGAGATTGCGCCACTGCACTCCAGCCTGGGCGACAGAGCGAGACTCTGTCTCAAAAAAAAAAAAAAAAAGATACTATACATATCAAGATAATAACATACACCTAGGCTTTCTATGTTTGATGTTCCAATTTGTTTAGATACAAAAGTCACCACTTTTGTCTTTATTTTCTATAATTTTTTAACAGAAATACTTCTTTCTATGCTGACAGCTTCCAAGTAACTGCAAAATGGCAAGAACTACATCATTTAATGAATATTCATATCAAAGAGATAGTTATAACATTTTTCATGCCTTTGCTCCTTTACCCTTCCTCAACACACACTTTGAGAATTACAGTGAATTTTTGAAATCCTGAAGGAACTATCTTCAATCCTTACACTAGGCTTTAAAAAATATTTTTAAATAATAGACCTTCGAATTAAAAAGGGAAAGAAATTTAGAAATAAGTATTTGTGGGAGGAAATCACATCAGCACATCCAAGATAAAATAATACATGAGAGTTGAGATTTAAAAGTGGTATAATAAATTGCTAGTAAGAAAGCATAATAATAATAGATAACATTAACACAAAAATATAAGTTCCTCAGAGATAAGAATGTCTGCTTTTTGTTTACTTTATTCCTTATTTCTAGAATGATAAAAGTCCAGAATGCCTGTTGAATAAATGAATGGTTGAACAAATAAATGAGTGCGTTTGATACAGAAAATAGATCATAATTCTCCCAGTCATCCAAGGCACATCTGTGAACCTCAGTATACTTGGGAGCAAAATCTGTAATATAGAAAAGTTCATATTCCAGCACAATGTACTAGGTTCTCAGCACAAAAGTGAAAAGTACAAAATCTTGGTGTTCAAAGTCCACAATCCAAAGCCAGATATATAAATAGTTCTGATACAATGATACAAGTGCAAAAAGAGTTATATATATTAACGGGCCATAGACTGGTTGAAAAAACATTTGAGCATTAGCTAAAAAGATGAGTGAGAGGAGGGAAGAGTACAGGCACCCAAAGCAAAAGTACAGAAATCTCAAAATTCATAGTGTTTTTGGAGAACAGAAAGCTATATATTTCAAGCTTTTAACCATAACCTGAAGCAAGAAGTATACATACAGTATTTTTTTTTTTTTTTTAAACGGAGTCTTGCTCTTTCGGAAGACTGGAGTGCAGTGGCACAATCTCTGCTCACTGCAACCTCCCCCTCCCAGTTTCAAGTGATTCTTCTCTCTCAGCTTCCTGAGTAGCTAGGACTACAGGCACGTGCCACCACGCCCAGCTAATTTTTGTATTTTTTATAGAGATAGGGTTTCACCATGCTGGCCAGAATGGTCTTGATCTCTTGCCTTCGTGATCTGCCTGCCTTGGCCTCCCAAAGTGCTAGGATTACAGGTGTGAGCCACAAAACAAGTTTTATGAAATAATACCCACCTTTACTCATTTGACACATTTAGCATTTTCTGATCTATTATTTCTTCTTAATAGTGGTCAAGATGCACTAAATTAATTTCAAGATCATTTGTTTGAAAAACTGGGTTTAAGCATTGAATAGATGTGGCAAGCAGACCACTGAAATGAAAATACAAAGAATGTTCTGCCAGCAGAACTCCAACTCTTCTCCCATGCAGGTGGTTTGCTGCTGAGCTGCACGGCTTGGGGAAGGGCTGTGATCTAGGTCCCTTTCCTACTTAAAACATCTCATTGTGGTAAAAAAGATCAGTAAGGAACTCCTTCTCTACATCAAATACAAGTGCAGGAAAGGAAAGTGCCACAGGCCTTTTTAAATCTACTCTAGCGGTAATGTTTGGTGCTTACCATTATTCTATCTAGAAGCATTAAGAGTGTTTAAAATTTATACTATTCTCATTTCTGGGCGCATTCTACATTCTATCTATATCTGGATCTATCTCAGAGTTTACCAAGTCACACTGTCACACTGAACTAACGAAGCAAAACTCTCTATTCCTTGCTGTATGAACAATAATTTGTGCATCCAAAATAGACTTTGTTGAAGACTATTTATTGAACACTTTCTATGTGCCAGGTTCTGTTTTAGTGCTAGGGACTACAACAGTGGGAATACAAAAGTCCAAGTCTCCTGGAGTTGATATTGTATAGAAAACAAATAAATTAATTAAACACATACAGATAATAATGAATGCTAGGAGGGGAAAAAATAGTCTCTTGGGTTTGAAAATATTATTTAAGGTAGCCAGGAAAGGCCTTTTTCATAAGGTAACATTTAAGTTGAGACATGAAGGATGAGAAGAAGCCATTAAAGTGAAGTGCTAAGGAGAAAAACAATTTTCTCAGCACCGGAAGATTATGCATGAAGACCTGATACAGGAAAGAAATGTGTTATTAGAAGCCAGTATATCTTGAGCCCAATGACGAGTTGGGAAAAATCGTATGAGATGAGATGGGAAGTTACCTGAAGTTACTGAATTGTTCCAGCAACTAACATGGGAAGTTACTGAAAATGACATGGTTCAATGGGTTTTATAAAAGCTTATTATTTCAGCTATGTAGAGAAGGGATTAGATAGGGTTGAGATTAGAAGCTGAGCAATCCCTTAGGAGACTAATTTCCAGGCAAGTAAATATGGAAGATTAAACTAGCGTGTTGACAATAGAAATGGAGAAAAGCAGATGGATTCAAGATGTATTTTGGAGGTAGAACCAATGAAACTTATATTCAGAATTTTCTTGAAGAGACCGTAAGGAAATGAATTGAAAATTGTATGAAGGAATGAACGTATTTAAAAGGAAAAGGTGACATTCTGAGAAAAGAAAGAATGGCAAAAGTATACACTAAGCATCAACCTATGAATAAAAGTAATGTATTAAAGTGGTCGCATTTACAACTTTAATCTGATGTCCTACACTGGGCCTCAATTATCTTAAAATAAGATATTAAATCAACGCAGAAAAAGAGAAGAAATGCTTCAAGGTTTTTAGCCTTAAATGGTTGAGCCCAGGCCACTGAAAAAAATATAATTTACCCAATTAAAATAATGAAACAAGATTTAACTAAGATCATTATAGTGAGAAACAGTTGTTCTCACTCTGGCTGCCCATTAGAATTCCCTGGGGAGCTTTTAAAAACTAGAAGCCCAGGTTCCACTGGAGTGATTCTGATTTAATTGGTCTGAGGTAGACCCAGGAATAGGTATTTTTTAAAAAGCTCCTTAGAGAATTCTAATGAGCAGCCAGGATGGAGAGTCTTGAGTTAGAAGTAGAGTACAGCTGAGGATGCCACATCAATAAACCTATTCTGCTAATGAAAGATTAATAGAGAAAATAGGATGAAAGAACTTTGATCCCAGACAAGGAATACAGGCCCATTGGTTACAAGGACATAATTCAAGACCACAAGAAAATAAAAGTCTATTTTCCTCTGGGTGCCTTTTTTAAGCTGGGAGAAAATGGCATTATACTCACCTTGTTAATAACGCAGACACTCATTTAAATGCCACACATATTTAAAAATATATTTTATTTCCATTATGAACAAAAAGAGAGTAACAGCTGATGGTTGACTACAAGAAAAATAGAAGAGAAAAAGGAGAGTGTCAATATTGCCCAGACAAGGAAACATAGTAAAAAATGAGTTGCATTGAGAAAGTGATCGAAAGAAAGGGATTCCGTTATTTCTGGGAGAAAAAAAAAAATGCATATATATATATAGAATACACCTAGCAACGAGTTTGCTTGTATCAGACGGCTCTTGAGTCTGCACTTTTCTGGATTTAACTCTTGAGTGAGCCACAGAATTATCAGAGCAGGGCCGAAAGCCGAGTAACTATTCCTCTAAGTAGAACCAGAAACATAATTCTTCCCCAACTGCAATGAAGATTCTCTGGTGGGTGAATGGGCAACTGAAGGCCAGAGAAGTTCTATTACTTGCCCTAAATCACTCAATTAATTAGTGGTCATACTGGAATCAGAATCAATATTTTGCATTGTTAGGTTTTAATTTTGTTACATTTGCACTCTAACTCCACTGAAAACAGAAAAGAGAAATATGTAGTGCAATTTCTAAATTGCCACATCTGGAGCACTTCAAGAGCTACAGTTGTCCAGTTAAGACGGTAGTGTGTGTATGGTGCCGCCATGTTAATTTGGTGGAATAAAACCAGAGGTGAGTTAGGCCGGCGCGGTGGCTCACGCTTGTAATCCCAACACTTTGGGAGGCCGAAGCGGGTGGATCACCTGAGGTTGGGAGTTCGAGAGCAGCCTGACCAACAGGGAGAAACCCCGTCTCTACCAAAAATATAAAAATAGCCGGCCGTGGTGGCGTGCGCCTGTAATCCCAGCAACTTGGCAGACTGAAGCAAGAGAATCGCTTGAACCCAGGAGGCGGAGGTTGCGGTGAGCCGAGATAGCGCCATTGCACTCCCAGCCTGGGCAACAAGAGCGAAACTCTGTATCCAAAACAAACAAACAAACACCAGAGGTGAGTTGAGCAGAAGAAACAAAGGTGGATTATTAGTCTTAAGTGGGCGTGTCTACTTCAGGAAGGGAGTGAAAGCAAAAAACTGAGAAACTAAGGGTGGGAGGGGGAATGAAAGGATCTCAGAATGTGGGTGTCGTGGGTGGCAAAAGGGATGCCAAGACACCAGAAGAGCAATACAAAACAGCTCCCGTGGATAGGCACGGAAGACCTTCCGCGCTGCTGGCCAGGCGACCCCGCAGGAAGTAGGAAGGACAAGCGCGCACTACAAGTCCCAGAAGCCCCCGTTTCCTGGAGCCCGCGCCGTGCCGCGCTACGCCCGCCGGGAGCCGGCCAGAGCGGCCAAGATGTCGCAGCCCAAGAAAAGAAAGCTTGAGTCGGGGGGCGGCGGCGAAGGAGGGGAGGGAGCTGAAGAGGAAGATGGCGCGGAGCGGGAGGCGGCCCTGGAGCGACCCCGGAGGACTAAGCGGGAGCGGGACCAGCTGTACTATGAGTGCTACTCTGACGTTTCGGTCCACGAGGAGATGATCGCAGACCGCGTCCGCACCGATGCCTACCGCCTGGGTATCCTGCGGAACTGGGCAGCACTGCGAGGCAAGACGGTACTTGACGTGGGCGCGGGCACCGGCATTCTGAGTATCTTCTGTGCCCAGGCCGGGGCCCGGCGCGTGTACGCGGTAGAGGCCAGCGCCATCTGGCAACAGGCCCGGGAGGTGGTAAGGTTCAACGGGCTGGAGGACCGGGTGCACGTCCTGCCGGGACCGGTGGAGACTGTGGAGTTGCCGGAACAGGTGGATGCCATCGTGAGCGAATGGATGGGCTACGGACTCCTGCACGAGTCCATGCTGAGCTCCGTCCTCCACGCGCGAACCAAGTGGCTGAAGGAGGGCGGTCTTCTCCTGCCGGCCTCCGCCGAGCTCTTCATAGCCCCCATCAGCGACCAGATGCTGGAATGGCGCCTGGGCTTCTGGAGCCAGGTGAAGCAGCACTATGGTGTGGACATGAGCTGCCTGGAGGGCTTCGCCACGCGCTGCCTCATGGGCCACTCGGAGATCGTTGTGCAGGGATTGTCCGGCGAGGACGTGCTGGCCCGGCCACAGCGCTTTGCGCAACTAGAGCTCTCCCGCGCCGGCTTGGAGCAGGAGCTGGAGGCCGGAGTGGGCGGGCGCTTCCGCTGCAGCTGCTATGGCTCGGCGCCCATGCATGGCTTTGCCATCTGGTTCCAGGTGACCTTCCCTGGAGGGGAGTCGGAGAAACCCCTGGTGCTGTCCACCTCGCCTTTTCACCCCGCCACGCACTGGAAACAGGCGCTTCTCTACCTAAACGAGCCAGTGCAAGTGGAGCAAGACACGGATGTTTCAGGAGAGATCACGCTGCTGCCCTCCCGGGACAACCCCCGTCGCCTGCGCGTGCTGCTGCGCTACAAAGTGGGAGACCAGGAGGAGAAGACCAAAGACTTTGCCATGGAGGACTGAGCGTTGCCTTTTCTCCCAGCTACCTCCCAAGGCAGCCTGACCTGCGTGGGAGAGACGTAGCGAGGTCGGAGGAGAAAGGGAGATCCCACGTGCAAGTAGGGGGAATATCTGTCTCCCTTTTCCCGCATAGCCTCTAGGGAGGGAGAGTGAGTTCATTCTCCATTTGAAGAGATTCTTCTGGTGATGTTTACTTAAAAAGTTATCCCCCTCAAGAACGGATACAGCGTGCTTATTATTGGGCTTTTAAGCCTCAAAGGCATGTAGTACCAAGCACTTGTATTTCCATATATTTTGTTTCGTGGGGGAGGGAGGCAGAAGAACACAGATGAAAATGTCAGTTTTTGAAGGGTCCATGCACATTCCTGACACCTCACACCTTATCTAAGTCTGAAGCTGAGGAGAAAGAGTTCTTTTAGACTTCATACATTTCCAATACGACTTTAGTATCTCTCCAGAGCCATATTTTCTCACTCTGAATTAATTCCCCATCCCTAGGTGCCTGTAGGCTATGAGACTTCCTCATTGTTTTCTAAGTAAACTTCACTACTGGTAATTAAGGGGAAGGATATGAGGAAGCAGTTTAAATAGCCCTGTTCTCATTACTCTTACCACATACATAGGGTGCTAAAGTTGATGAACACATTAATCCGTTAAGTAAAATGGTCTTTGTAATTGTACGGCGTATCTAAGAAACTCAGAAGGTGCATTTAGGAGAAAGACCTGAAAGACAGAAATAGTATGGATTCTTATGTAGAGGACTACAAAATTCTTGTCTCTACTATTACAACCAAAAAACAAATATTTCATGTATGTCCTATAAAAATATCAGTGTAATTCTTATGAAACAGGCTGGTAGAGGAGGTTTCTGAGCCTAGCCCAAGGGCTTATTCATCACCATGGGTAAATTATTTAAACTGACTTAATTAAGTAAAATATTTTCCCAGCTAGAAAAGTGTACTCATTCTCATTTAAACTCTCATTTGGAGGGATCATGTGAGTTTTAGTTTAGTTTTGTTTTTTTTTTTTTTTTTTCTCTTTCACGCAGCCAAATGTGAAAGTTGTGAATTTAGGAAAATCACTTATAATGAAGTGTGAATCTTGTTATCACATTTATTTCACTTATGTTTCCCTCCTTATCCTTGTAGCTAATAAAACATTGACATTCTCACGTTTTATAGATGAAGTAAGAAGTCTTGTGTGCTGTCTATGAGTTATAATGCTTTTGCCTTTTTAATATTACCAGTTCTTAAGTGTTACAGCCCATTCAGAATATAACTTCAGGACAATTCAAACTGCTTAATGTATGATTTTTGAGCTTCTGTATGCTAAGAAAATAGGTGTGAAAAACTGGTGTTCTGAAATAGCCTAACATTTATTGTAATTCTGATTTTTCTGCCCTTTTATTCATTGCATATTAAAGTATTAGAGTATAAAAACTAATTTGCTAAACTTTGGTGGTATGTAACACAAGATCTTCCCTCATGGAGAGACATACATGTACAAAATTATCAATTTACAAGATAATTGAGTAGCAAGCAGTACAGTTATAACCATCACCATTTTGATGCTAAGATAGTGATCATCTCCTGTAAATGCTACAATTACAGCAAGCTAGACTTGAGTTAAGCTAGCGGGAAAAAATAGCTCCTTATAAGGTGTTCTCTGTTTTAAATCAAACATTTCTTTAGAATTTTAGGGTGTGATTTTGAGTAGGTTTCTGATGGTTTGGTTTGTTTTTTAAAAACTTGATTTAACAATTCCTTTTCTAAGTGATAAATGAGAACATTCTTCCAAATTCTGTTTTTTATGTATTTGATAAATACTATAGAGTTATCATTATCAGTATAAGCACATAAAGGGAACCTCAGTTAAAACTTGGAGGAACTATAGAAGTAAAGGGTATGTATTCCATAAAATAAGCTTCAGGATTTTTATTACTCCTTCCCAAAAGAAAAATGAATTATAAAAATACAGCGACTGAAACAATTAGTCAAAAGTTAGCATAACATAATGGCTACAAAATTGGACTCTAGAGGCAGACAGCCCATAGTAGAACCGAGGCTCTACCACTTTTTGTGACCTTGGGCAAAATATTAATACTTAAACACTTTTTTTCCTTCAAAAGGGAGGAAATGCCTCTCATATGCAAAATGGAGATTACAACAGTACCTACGTCATAGACATGTGAGGATTGAATGAGTTAATACATGTGACTACATAATGTCTGGTATGTAATAAGATCTCAATAAATCCTCAGTGTCATAGTTATGGAAAAGTCGTAAACCTGGAGCACTTGGATGCATGCAAAACGTGCAACAATAAATACTCAACATTTTGATTTTTTTACAGGTATTCAACAGTATGTGGTTGTACGTGAGGAGCAATGTATGACACTGTACACCAAATGATCCAAAGGGAATTCAGGACCTTTGGAATGAGGACACCTCCAGAAGGATGAAGGTGTAAAATGTATCAACATCCAGGCACTGTCCAATCTGTCTATATGGACTGGTACTGACTGCTGGGTACCATTGGACCACAGGCAGGAACTACCAGGCCCAAAGGAGAGGAGAACATGGTAAAGTTCGACCTGCTTCCCTCAAAGAACTTACATTTATTTTGCACTGTGAAGATTTCCAAATATTTTCATTAATTCATTGGACCAATGGACGTTTTATTGAGTATACAATGTAACAGTCATTGTGATAAGCATTTAGGATACAAACCAATAAAACACAGTTTCTTCCTTCAAATGATATGTTCATAAGATAAAATGGTAAGTACAATAAATGATAATGGACTAAAGACTGGGATGGTCTTGGTGTTAGAAAGGGCAAGTAATTATCTCAATTTACGTATCAGGAGATTATTTCAATTTACATACCAGGAGCAAAAGCTATACAGATATTGAAGGACTTGCCTAAGGTTACATAGCTAATTCTTGGCTTTTAATTCCTAACCCCAAACAAAAATTAACTTGTTTATTATATTAATCTTGCCTGCTTTAATTAAAAATAGTAGTGGGCACGGTGGCTCACGCCTTTAATCCCAGCACTTTGGGAGGCCGAGGCGGGCAGATCACTAGGTCAAGAGATCGAGACCATCCTGGCTAACACGGTGAAACCCCGTCTCTACTAAAACTACAAAAAACTAGCTGGGCGTGGTGGTGGGCGCCTGTAGTCCCGGCAACTCAGGAGGCTGAAGCAAGAGAATGGCGTGAACCTGGGAGGCGGAGCTTCCGGTGAGCTGAGATTGAGTCACTGCACTCCAGCCTGGGCGACAGAGCCAGACTCCATCTCCAAAAAAAAAAAAAAAAAAAAAAAACCGGAAGCACATACTTCCTGAATGGGTGACAACAGTTTTTATTGTTTGATGAATGAAGGAAAGGGAAACGTCCTTAGCTTAAGGAAGTCCCATTAAAGATGTATCTCATAGGCCTCAAAGAACCACTTTCAGTGTATGGGATCTCACACTTGACAACTACTAGGCACTCATTGACATAAATACCCCCATACCCATTTTCCCAACAGTTAGTCAAATGTGGCACTCTGAGACCCCCCAGAAAACTCCTCAAAACAGTAGCAAAGGTAGATGAACTCACAGGTGCTTGGTGCTGAGGAACAGAGGCATCTGATGAGGCTAAAAGTGGGCAGAAGTAGTTTTTAAAAGGTAAGTATGAAAGATACCTCCAGCAAACAAAACTGGCTAACGTTTTGCTTATAGCCAGCCATGTTAGCATCTTCACATTTTGTACCACCCAATGCTGAGGAGAGATGAATCAGTCAATGTGGGCCCCCTCCTCCCATATGTACATCTTTTTATCCATTCATTTTATGATTTAATAAACACCAACTATAAAATATTCAAGTTCTATGAAAAACAAGCAAATTCTACCCTCTAAGAACTAGTATACAGTATGGGAAATAAAATTACCTATATCAGTTCAGTAATTTGCATCCTTAGCCTGGAAAGACTGTCAGGGCCAAGGGAAAAGTTCTCTCTGGCCCTCTGAAGTTTCTCTGAGAAGTCACCTCACAAATGCAAATTAATTGGAGAAAAAGCATACAAATTTATATAATGTGTACACACAGGAGCCCTCAGAATGAAGACCCAAAGATAAAGGAGAAAGTGTCCATTTTGATGCTGAGGTTCAATAAAATATGGATGACTATGTAGAAATATGATTGCACAAAAAGGATATGATCTCATACTAACAGACTGAGCGAGGGATCCCAGCAGGGCCTGTCTGTCTTGGCCTCTCTGAGCAAAGATTCTTGGCCTCTCTGAGCATGCGTGCATTCCTTCTTGGTGTGAGGCAACACCATCTCTGGAATGGGGGTCTTACAACCCATAGGCAAAGAAGGTAGGTCACATAATTTCTTTATGAGTAGTTTTTATACAGAAAGGCAGAGGGAAAGTGAGTAATGATTTTAGGTTTTATGGCTGGCTTTGGGGAAAGGGGGTTCTGGTGTTTATGACCTGCCTTGGGGAAAAGTGATTCTAGTTTCTATGACTAGCCTAAGGGGAGAAGTGGACTGAGAAACAGGAAGGCAAGAGATGAGAGAAACACTTTTCCTTCCAAGGCCTTCATTTTGGGGTATTTTCTGAGTCCCAACATCATTTCGACTAAATCTGTTGAATGAAGCAAGGTTGAGAAGAGCCAGCCCGCTTATCCTTAGTGCAAAAACTCCCTTACTTATCACATAAATCATGAAATCCTCAGAGAAAAAGTCTTCTCTGTTATTAGTTCCAAAAGTAAGTCTATGTCCTCTAAATAACTGGTTTGTTTCAGCTAATGAACACAGTATATTGGATAGATGACCCTTCTCACATTGGCTACTAGAGAGCTGAGCCCAATTTATGCTTCACTGTGCTTTTTTTTACTTTACATCTGGCTCCACTTCTATACTCCAATTTTTTTCTTGATTTATCTTCTATCATTTATAATAAATATTACGTGTTTTGTTGGAACGTGTGTAACCTTATTCTCTTCTAAATTTTTTGGCATGAAAATATCTTCCTACTTTTTGGAATACCTGCAGAAGCTCTGAAGATAAGAAGGCCAGAAGACTCTGAGATATGTCCTCATTATTTCCTACAAAAGGTAGTGTCTCATCACATTGTTCATAGGGATGGATAACTGATGTAATCTCATCCTTTTAGCCAAATTTATAGCATTTTACATTTTATAGAATCAAGAGACTATGTGAAAAATCTGAGACATGAAGACAATTTGAGGAAACTGAATGTTCTTCAGGACTTTCTACGCCTAGAACAGGCCCTGATTAAAATCTTAAACACAACAGTGGGGAGAGTTACAGACTTCCAAACCTTTTCCAAAATGTGTCAAAACAGTAAGTGATAAGGAAGAAGATGATATAAGGAGGCTATTTCTCAAAATGTTATACATGCTCATAGTAATCCCAGCACTCTGGGAGGCCGAGACGGGCGGATCACAAGGTCAGCAGATCGAGACCATCCTGGCTAACACAGTGAAACCCCGTCTCTACTAAAAAATACAAAAAACTAGCCGGGCGAGGTGGCGGGCGCCTGTAGTCCCAGCTACTCGGGAGGCTGAGGCAGGAGAATGGCGTAGACCCGGGAGGCGGAGCTTGCAGTGAGCTGAGATCCGGCCACTGCACTCCAGCCTGGGCGACAGAGCGAGACTCCGTCTCCAAAAAAAAAAAAAAAAAAAAGACATTTAAAACGAAGCTTGGAGCTGATTAAAATTAAGAGAATTTTAGTAAAAATTAAGACATGACAAGTAACATTGGAATTGTACTCATTTGAAACCTTTGGTAATTAAGTGTATCATTATTGATAATAACTGTAGGGGAAGACACGTGATTTTAGTTGACTGAGTAGCTTTAAACCCTTATGGCAGACTTAAAATGCAGGGAGCTGAGAGAAAGAAAAAAAGTTCCTTTGTCTCTCTAAAAGGCTGCCTCCTGCAAGAAAGGAAGGACAAAAAGAAGAGGTAGGATGGAAGGATATTTTCCCCAAGCTTTTAAAATACTTTACAAACACTCCTATAATTATGTGATATATGTTCCTGAAAAACCCTCATAATTCTGCAAAATTATTCAATAAAAATAACAAACTTAAGGGAAAAATGGGTTTGGTGAACCATCAAAACATATGTAACTTTGTAACCAAGAATCTAATAAGTGGGCAGTGTGGCTCAGGCCTGTAATCTCAGCACTTTAGGAGGTTGAGACTGGAGAATTGCTTGAGCCCAGGACTTTAAGACCAGCCTGAGCAACATAGAGACACCCCATTTCTACAAAAAATAAAATAAAATATAAAATTAGCTAGACATGGTGGTGCATGCCTGTGGTCCCAGCTACTTGGGAGGCTGAGATGGAAGGATAGCTTGGGACCAGGAGGTTGAGGCTGCTGCTACCCTTGATTGGGCCAATGTATTCCAGTCTAGGTGACAGAGCAAGACCCTGTCTCAAACAAGTACTAACAAAATAATACCAATTTTAATAAAACTAGTTAAGAAATATAAATTTTTAATAAAGAAACTACAATAAATATAAATAAAAATAGCTTGATGGAAGGAAATAAGGAAGACTTATACAAAATAAAATTCACAAAGACAGAGAGAAGGCTTAATAAACATCTCTAAGACAGAATGTGGCCAAACAGAGCCAATAGGAGGAAGTAGGGTGCTGCATTCAATTGCATCAATATATTTTGTGTTCAGTGACTGTTACCTGGTGGTGCTAATGCTACATTCTGTACTGATGTCATTCTACTTGCCAGTTGAGTTTATTGATTTTACGGAAACACGCATTGTGACGGAACATTCTGTTCTTTGTGAAATTTCCAGAAAATAAAGTAATTCAGAATTCCATTGAGTTTAAAAATCTTTTCAGTGAAAATTTTCTTGAAGGGAAGGGAAGGTTATAACCACACTTTGGTATGAATTAATTTTATTTCAGTCAACAGGAAAGTTAACAGGAAGGGAGAGTACAAATTCTGACCTGTGTAGAGTGAAAGGCAAATAGCTGAGTACAGTTACCTGCGTTTAAAAGGTAGTCTGATAGAGGGCATTGGGGACAATAGCTGGTTTTCCACAGTCACAGGGCAACAAAAAAAACATCTTGGGGCCAAAAAAAAAAAGCCGAAAGTGAGTGAGAGAAGCATATAAATGACAAGTAGGATCCCTATGCATACTTTCTGCCTATGTCACAATTTCCTCAGGTAATTTTCTTCTTCCTTAAGTCACAGGCTTATAACAGTATTTTGATTGACGTAACTGTTGCTTATTTTGATACTTGACATTGTCCTTAACCTCACTTTTCAGGTTAATTTCTAAATCTATTCAAGGACTTTTCTATGTAAGAACTACTTAATCCTCTCAAATTTGTGAACAAAACTTTCCCCTCCCCATTGTTGCAAGCTGCAGTTTAGTAGGTGGTGTGGAATGGTGTGACTATTAGGTTTTCTTTTTAACACTTGCAGCTTTGCTTTTGGTAAAATTATTATGTTATATATTAATTACATATACTAATATAATTACATGTAATATGTTTATGATATTATAAAATTATTCTAAGAGCAAACTGTAGTTTTGACTTTAAGTTATATAGGATGGTGAAAGGATTCCAATCCACAAATGGTTAAAACATTTATTTCATGCATTCATTGGCATCAAAAACTTTTTACCAGGAATCTTTATTAAAAGGGCAAACTGCTTATTTTAATATGAACTTCTCACTCTACCATCATTTATCATCTGGTGAAA